CGGCATGCAAAAATACATTTATCATATGTAGCACCAAAAACCACCACAAATAGAGTACCTGACGCGATGAAGTGGTGTTACTGCTAAATTCCTTCTCACCATTTTCTTCAACGGGTATATAAGCAAGAATAACTAGAGAATCACCAAAGGGAGCAATCCCTGAAATGTAATAGCTAGTTTGGAAAGATGCCACAATATCTACTTGGGTTAGACTAGACATCTGGATCTGCCTATATACTGGGTTTTGCTGGTCTGATTTAATTGAAGCAATTTTTACAGATGTTCCCCAGCCAATCACAAGGAGAGTGTCATCCTGGAAATAATTTAAGAACACCCTTTAAATCAATGCTATTATACGTGAACTCATTCGGGTGAAATTCACGAAGTATAAATGATATTAGTTATCAAGACTAACCTGCCAGACCAAGTGGGGAAGCAAAGCCTCAGGCCGGGGACTTCCCCGCGGTTTTTCAATAAATGTAACACGCTGATCCTTGGCTGTATCATAAACTTTAACACCAGCATCATTAGCCCAGGCGATGAGACTTCCTCTCCATTTCACAGAATGGATTGGACCTTCCCCAGAATGCAGCACCTACAAAAGATAGCCTCTATCAAAAATTCACGATGAGCAGGTGATCGTATTCCAAAAACGTAATTTACACACATTCTCACGAACCTGGTCTTTATGACCGAACCACTTCTTAGAGTTCATATACAAGTGACCAGCCAAACCACCAGCTACAAATTTCTTAGATTGCTTTTTCGCGTAATCCGGGTCCAAGGCAATGGCCTTCATGGGTCGATGATAATCAAATTTCATCTTCTCATCATCAGTGAAAAGGCTGTTTATAACAACAGACCCATCGTCTGAACAACTTCCGATATACTCTCCCTCATTGTCAAAGCTAAGATCATTAACCGCAGCAGTGTGGGCACGGAATTCTCTAACCTGAACGAAACATAAAAGCAACCAAAATTTGAACTTGACCAAAGCTTAAAGCTAAGCAAACTAGCTAAAAACCAACCAAGAACACCTTATGAGACTCACGTAGCATCATCTATCGACCTCAGTTAACAATCCTAAAAATGTTGAAATTGACCCAAAATTCCAAAATGATTCCCAATGAAATCACTAAAACAAAGAAAAACTCGCCTGATTCCCAAGGAAATCGAGGATGTGAACCGTCCCATCGTGCGTACCAAGCGCGATCATCCTCGCCGCAACAGCGATACAGGAAGCAGCGTCGTTAGATAGTAACGCAGGTACGTTACCACCCATCCTCTGGTATTTGAGCCGTGGC